CGAAGACCTCGTTTTTTTCCAATTTTCGCTTTTGGTGGCTGTGCTTTCACCAGATATTACTCACAGCTAAGAAGACAAATCAGGCTCAAATCATTCCTGTGATATGTACGAGATTCAGGCTATCTATTCATATAAATACTATTCACCAAAAATGTTTTTTGATATAGTTAACACGTTTCGGACTGCGAATCCGCGCGCGGCGACAAAGAGGGTACTTTCAGCCGTTAGCCAACAAAGGGACCTTATTTCCCAGACTGCGTGCTACATTTGTAATCAGCATGTCAGATAAGATCGATACGCATAGTTCTGAATAAATTCGAGGTGTTTGAATTTTGTCGTTTTAGTAGGACTTCTGTGCTTTCTTGAAAGATAGAAACAAGAACTCAGTTTCTAATAGTATCCAAAAGTATCTATGTTGTATACGTGCACATCAGTATAGAAACTACGGTTTTTCTCTTTGATATCGAAGCAAAGGAAATTTGCGACGTCGCACGCTTCGTTCGCGTTGCCGCACTTGGTTGCAACTGTTGTTCGATTTGTCCTTTTATCTCCTAAACAAATGTCGGCAGCACAGCTTTATAGAGTTATTTGCAAAGTAGCAGCCTAGGCCTTTGACTTGATAACCTTTTCCAAAAAGAAAACCTTGTGTACACGTTAAATAGATCCTTCAAAGCTGCGTGCTGTACCATGTGCAGCACCGCTCCGAAACGTGTTAATGGGGTGTGGCACAACCCCTAAAAAGCTGTGGCGGCCACAGCTTTTAAAGGGTTGTGCCACACCCCATTAACTTACCTTCAAATCATTCAAATCTCTGCGTATTTTGCGTCGTTGCTATTGCTCAACCTTCTTCTTTATATATTAGGAAAACCATTCAAATCGTTTCTTTTAGGAAAAGATATAACCGTTTTTCCTTAGCTAGGCAAATGGAAAAAACTGCGAAAATTTTGGGTTACGATAACATGCCTAATCTGCGCTACTACGTAAATTGCAATGTAAGGCGACAAAAATGAGTACATACGATAGCCTAACTCTCGTAATTTACATTAAGGTGTTTAAGCCTGATTAGTCTTCTCTAGCCTGAGATATTGAAAGCGGAAAATGGATGAAATGTGATTTTGGCTTGCTCGTAATTCTATGGTTTGGATGTTATTCAATGTATTAGGTCGTTTCATAAGTTCGTAGACTTTTTATTTTTGTCGCCGTTTTTCGATGAAGCGGTTCGTTTACGGCAAAGTACCTATACCATTGAAAAGAGAAAATCTTGCTCTACAAGAACTGTTGTTCGTTTTTGGAGCAAACTTGAATCCCCTTCTTTTACGACTTATCAAAGCAAAATTTTTTGAGAGGCAAAAATTGGCGATTGCGGCAACTGCAACTTTCGATCCGTATACGGAGCCACAAGTGGGAATTTTTCGTCTGAAGTTGTTATGAGTGATGAGAAACAACTGTTTGTGGTACTACGGTGCATATAAAAGTAGTCTCCATATCCAAAGAGAGGCTATAAAGAAAGATTAAGCGCACGTTTACCATGTGTGTAGATGTTTTGCGTTTGGCACAATTTTAAAAAGTTCCCACGTCAAAAATTTTTTTTGAAAAAGCGTAAAATGTTGGTCAGAGCTCGTACTCATACATCTACACCACTTAGAAGAGCGCATCCATTCCTCAAGTTCCGATAGGAGGACCGACACATTGTGTCGCTGAACAACGCGCCAAACTCAAGCGGCAGCAGTCAAAGACAACAAAACCATTGGGACCTTGTTCAAACGGTTCTATGCATATTGGCATGCTACAAATTTGTCAGTGTTTCACTCTTGCTTGCTACTATCCATCCCGCCTACCTATGACAGAAACATCTTGCGGAATACGGACCAAATGCGGAAAGTGCAGTTGCCGCAATCGCCAATTTTTGCCTCTCAAAAAATTTTGCTTTGATAAGTCGTAAAAGAAGGGGATTCAAGTTTGCTCCAAAAACGAACAACAGTTCTTGTAGAGCAAGATTTTCTCTTTTCAATGGTATAGGTACTTTGCCGTAAACGAACCGCTTCATCGAAAAACGGCGACAAAAATAAAAAGTCTACGAACTTATGAAACGACCTAATAGTATTCCCAACGTGAGCAGAAAAAGTAGCTGTTTGTATTGAGTGCAGAAAGATGTAGTTAACTCACCCTTGAAACGAAGAAAACATATTTTAAAATGACCGTCTCACTTGGATGGCACAATATTTGGAAACCTCAGGCCATAAATTTGGCCCACAGGGATTAACTGACAATCTATTTACAAAAATGATACTCTCATGCTTATAGCGCTTTTTTATTACGCTTACGCTACGTATACGATGGTAGGCCATAACATCGATATGTTAGTGCTTTACACAGTCTATCTGACATTGTTAATAATATCATGTTATTGCTAACATCAGCTCACCTCGATAACGACCCCCCCCCCCTCCCCGACCCCACAATACGACCCTCCAGATGTGACCTGCCACACCCACACTTTACCCTGCAGATGATTGATGGGACCCTCATCATTCGTGGTGAAAAGATTCCATCATAAAATGTTGGAAGCGTTGGCTTTGTCGTCCACCCATCTATAGTCCATCTCGTTCATTCGCATGAGATCCTGTCACCTCGACTAGACTACGACTACGACCTCCGCGTCAGAAGAGCATCAGCATCATCAACTGTTACCCACCAACATCAGCAGCAGATTCAGAATTAGGTGCTTTCTACGAAGATCTAAAGCTCGTCCGCAACGAGAAGTCCTTCTACAAGTTCGTTGTGGGCGGCTTCAACGCGAAGATGATGCACTAGATGAGAAATATAAAATCGGAAAGTTTGGATACGGGCTCCGGAACGAAAATGGCAACCTCGTTGGGCTTTTCTCCGCCGCACGACTTTTCCAAGGAAATTTCATTTTTATGAAGCATGAACATCGGCGGTATACTTGGGAATCGCTCAACGGAACGACACATGCTGAGATAGACCACATTCTCACCAAGCGAAGGTGGAGCTTACTCGATGTCTCTGTAATTCCATCCTTCTGCAGTGGCTCCGATCACCTCCTTCGAGCGAAGATACGACTCAGTCGAAAGCTGCAAAAGAAAGTCTGTCACAGTGTCGCGAGAAGGAAGGAAGTCGTTTATGACGGTAACAGGCTGGAAGAGCTCATAACAAGTTGTGACTGGCCCATCGAGGAGGACCCAAGGTACGACTACCGGCTTCTGAAAGGATTGCAAGCCTGCGGAGAGTGCGCCTCAGTGAATTCCTTCTGAGCAGAATTTGTAGCGTGTTTCGAAGACCACCAAGAATTGCTAGAACGAAGTCGATTTCTGAGGCAGGATCCGAATGCAACCCATCTCGAGCGACTGGAAGCCAGCGCCGGTTGCAGAAAAGCTTTTCAGGAGAATCTTAGGAAGTACAGGCAAGCCAAGACACTGGAAGTGGCCGAAGGAAGAAGTGCGCGATAGAGCACAGCGGAAAAGTGGATATGATCCATAGAATGGAAATCGCTGTCATTTATATGAGTGTTTTTGCGCCTAATGCGAATGCTTAGCGGTTCTCAATCATACGAACACTTCAAACCAAGGTCCATTTGTTATTCGAGAGTGCAATCTTTCGAATCCAAATTTTTTATAGAGATACAGTAACAAAGTCTGACATATCCGCTACATAGTGGACTCAGAGCAGTTCAAAACAGAAGCAATGTTCTTTTCAAATGGCTCTGAATGCATTTGGAGTCATTGTGCTCCAAAAACATTTGTTTTAATGTGGTTTATGCACCCTAATTACAAGGGAATGGTCGGAAGTCGATGTGGCCAAACCAGAGAAGCTGTATATCATTCGTTGCAGTATAAAACGCTGACTTCGAATCTGTCTTCCTTACTTGCTTCCCGCTTCTGTGGACGAAGCTACAAGCGGTTTTATTGTGGAAAAATCATACATAAAAACAGCGAAATTGATCACATTGTTGCGCTTTTAGCTCAGCTTCTGGCTTCAAAATTTTTAAGTAAGTTAGCTACATGTTTTGGCCCAGCATTGAGGCGAACGTGGCTCTGTACGGCTAAATTTTCAATTTCACGCATAATTTCTAAGCAAAATAATGGTCTTTAATGGCTTATAGCTTCGTCCAGAAAAGCGATAAGCAGGAGGGAGACAGATTTAGTTCAGCGCTTCATGCTGCATCTAGCGGTGCAGCTTGTCTGGAATGGCCAATTCGATTTCTGACCATTCCCTTGTTAGCTTCCGTTAAGGCTATGAGATAAAATGAGCTCTTTGATAGATGTTTTGTTTGACGCTTGGAAGAATGTACTAGTTAGCAAACCTGGCTTCTCCCGGCCTTTTCAATAGTATATTCGTAAGCAGCATGCTCACTTACTCCCCTGTCACGAATTTCAGCCCCGTAGCTTGAAGTTTGCAAAAAATCGATAAATACCATCCGATACCGAAGAGTAGCCTACGATACCCGTGCCGCCCCGAAGTGTATGTGTGCGAAGTTTGGTCCGGGTCGGTTTAGAAATGGATTTTTCTAATCGCGACATACATATAAACAGACATTCCTTCATATATTAACTAGTTGACTTACCCGGCTCCGCCCGGCCCTGTCATTATTATATTCGTAATCAGCATGCTCGATTACCCCCTGTGCCAACTCCCAGTCCTGTAGCTAAATTTTGCAAAAAAAATCGATAAAATCGGTATCGATCGATGACGAAAAGTAGCCTATGACAATCGCCGGGGCCCGAAGGTTATGTGTGCCAAGTTTGGTTCAGATCGGTTCAGAAATGGAATTTTTGCATACGTACATACGTACACACATACAGACATACAGACATACAGACAGACAAACAGACATTCAGCTTTATATATAAGATGATTTTATCTCAAGTACACAATAGTAATGCTGCAACTTTAACGAAAAAATTGGGAAGAGTTGAAATTTCCTTCGTTAGGTGGAACGGCTCATGAAAAGATTGTGTGGTTACGAAAGAGAATTATGATCAAGGAGCCTCGCACAGTCCAAGAGCGCGGTCACAGGATGTTCCAACCGGACACATGGTGCACGTAGTTCCGGGAATGTAAATCCTTTCTTCGACTTTGTTTCCACTAAGAAGGTATAGCGTGGAACAAATAAATATTGCATCATTAAATACTCACGGTGGGCTATAGAGGCATACGGCATGCCATTGATCACCACATTCTTGAACCGTGCAACCCATTTTGTTTGTGTTAGCCCAAGCCATCTAAATCCCGTTGCTTTTATCTAGAGTGCTCAGTTTTAGAATCACTGCATTCTCACCCTAGTGAACGTTCTCACTTGCATACTTTCATGTTTGGCTCTGAAATAACATTGCAGCCCAATAGGCTCATCTAGTCTCACCCGTTTCCACCACTCCTTTATACTCTGCAAAATGTACCACGTGAAATTGAAAGAATACTATGGGGCTACCGACCGCGGCCATGGCATCAACTCTAGGCGCTTCGGCAGATGCAACATCTGATTTCGGAATGTAATATCTGTTCTCCTGATAATCCTGCGTGTTTGCCTCATTTTCCACAGGTTGGCACGCCTCAGCACGGTCGCGCGCTTTGAGTTCAAGATCGCAGTCATATCTCTGGAAAGTGGTTAGTGTAATGGAAAAGTTGAAACTTCGTGTGACTCTTCACTAACTAATTTCTGCATATTTGCAGCTGTAGGCATGTAGACACCGTTCCTCTTCACCACTTGTCCCTGGGCAAGTACTGATCTGAACAATGTAATTTTCAAGCAGATTGTAGATGTTGGTATGGCATGATTTAGCATCCTTTCGCTACATTTCGATCCTGACCAGCGACATCGAATGCCATCATTTATAGCAGTTTTTTTCGTTAGCTGAACTAACCTACGCCAGTTAGTCAGATCAAGAGCCTTCTTTCTGATCTTGTCGTTCGTACGTTTATTACCTGGGCACATCTGGTTGTCTGAAAAACTCTTTCAGTACAGGAATATATGCATCACATTTTGCGAAAGCACTCAGGAGGTCCTTTCAAAAACAAACAAAAGAAATATCACAAATGCTCCAAAAAATTTGACAAACTACTCACTCTTTTTACTAACTCTAAGGAAAACTACAAAGAAACTTACTCGCTGGAGGTACAGGAGCTTCGGTTTCTTTTTGTCCAGTAGTTGTAGTTTCACCAGCGCCAGCACCTGTTGTTGTACCTCCAGCTACCGTGGTTTTACCTGTTGTTCCTGCTCCCGTAGTCTCTGCGCCTGTGCCTGTCCGGCCTGTTGTCGCTCCTTCGGCAGCAGTAGTGCTGTCTCCTCCTGCGGCGGTAGAACCTCCTGCACCGGTAGTCTCCCCTCCTGCGGCGGTGGTTTCCCCTGCTGCAGCGGTAGTTTCCCCTCCTGCGGCTGCTGTGGTTTCTCCTCCTCCTGCACCGGTAGTCTCCCCTCCTGCGGCGGTGGTTTCCCCTGCTGCAGCGGTAGTTTCCCCTCCTGCGGCTGCGGTGGTTTCTCCTCCTGCTGCAGCGGTAGTCTCCCCTCCTGCTGCTGCGGTGGTTTCTCCTCCTGCTGCTACAGCAGCAGTAGTTGAGTCTTGAGATCTTACTCCTTTGAAGATCTAAATGCTTGCATAATGGTTGTTGAAAAAGAAAAAGGCCAACTTTAAGTGCTTACGAGTAGAGTGATCAGAATAATTGCTAGATAACGCATTTTTAATGAGAGCTGTGCTGATGATAGCCATTCTTCATCGCTTATATATACTGTACGTACGTGTAACTGAGTGCTTTATGTGCGCCCGTTACTGCACCACAGAATAAGTGAGAGTTTTTTGAGGCTGATGCATTTGTATCGTGTCTCTTTTTTATTATACTATTTAAACTACCCTAATTTCACGCGTACAAGGCGCGGGGGATTTTTTTTCCAAAATCGACCAGCCCAGACACGCCAAAGAACTTCGCAACCAAAGGACCCTATGCCTTGCTGTATATTGCTTGAGAGAATCGTACGCCATAAGGATCGTTTTCCGAAATAACTTAAAGCGGCTGAGGGGCTTAGTCGAAAAATCGAAAAAGGTGCGCCTTGTACGCGTGAAATTAGGGTAAATCTCAGTGGTTGATACAAGTTTTTTTGTCAATCCTTTTCTCGCATGGTTATGTCGTAATCACTTCGTAATTTAGTGGCGTTAGCGATCATCTATCAGGATGCCAATGGATTTTTGTGAATCCACTTTACTTCTTTGAATTCAGTAAACTATAAGAGTTCAAATAACTTTATCTGCTATGATCTCTATGATCTATACATAAAAAGTTCTGCCTGCGAACACAATGTTAATCTGAATTTGGAGTTTTTGAAAGAATAGAATAAAGAAAGTGTTAGGTTGGTGCAAAAGTAATGCGCGTTTTTCTAGCCCTTGGTTTAGGACAACTATTCTCCACCAAACTTTCTTCTTTGAAAAAAACTTAGCACACTTTCAGGAAGCTCCTTTCATCCTCTATCCAATGATGGTTGAAACGAGCTTCTAACTTCATTAGTTAAAAAATAAGAGAGCTTCACACAGCCGCACTCAAAATCAGAATTTTATTGTATTTACTTCTCTGGCCAGAAATCAAGCCCGAATGAAAGCAAACTTTCGAAACTTTAGCTAATATATTTAATGGAAATTGTCTACATTATGCACATTTTACTATTTTTTCAGAAATTACCTAAGCTAAGATTTCGGCTCCTCAAGATGGGCAGTCGTTTTGATCATTCTGTGATCCATAAATTCCCTTTGAAGAGGGCAATTACCAAACCTTTGCTCATTTCTGTAAGCGTAAGGGTGGACCTCCTATTGGCAGTTTTCACAGAATTGTGTATCTGTTCGTTACGCAGAAATCCAAAAAAATTCCATATTTTGGGGTTTTTACGCCTGCGAAATAATGTCCAAAAAAGCGGGCAATTTTGGTTTTGAATTTTTTTCCTCTTCGCAAATTCTCTCTGTTTGGCCCTTTTCCACTTTTTTTGTACTACAGGCTTCCGCCTACAACATAGGCTACTTGTTATCTATATTGACATATTCTGAAGAAGGCTATGATCAGTTAAATTTGAAGTTTCAGAAAAGAAATTTTTCTGCTTATCAGTCCATATTTTTCTGCCCGTTGGAGATATGAGTATAGAAAGATGTATTGTGCGCTGAGTAATGAGTAATGAGTATTGAGTAATGCGCTGTATTGTGAAAGGTTTGGTGCCTCTAATGTTTTTTACCGCATTGGAAAATGTAGATTTTTTAGAAAGGTATAACACGTCAAAGTGAGAACTCGCAAAACGCGCATTACTTTTGCACCAACATAATAAATTTTGGAAGGATTAACTAAATCTCTAAATCGTCCTCTAATCGGTTGCTATTTATACAGGGTGTCCCAAAAAAATGTGAACACTGTTTGATCGTTAATAACTCCGTTGCTTTCATGTCTTTCGCCGAGCTTGAGGTGCCATTCTGTAGAGCGAGGCTCAACTTAGATTTGTAGTATGGAGCGAATCACTGATCGCTGTTCGTTACTGTAGGATTACGGTATAAACTTCTAGCATGTGGATCTACAGTGAAATAAGCCATTTAACAAAATTTTTTCCAAAAAATCTGAAAAATCGTGTACCGGGGTTTTTGCGCACGCTGATTCCATTACACAACTTTTTATGAGTGTTTTTAGCTTTTTTGACGGTGTATTCACATTTCTGACAAATGGAAATTCATTTATTTCGGTTTACCTGGGATAACCTTGGAAAGAGGCATCACAGTAAAGTGGAAATTCCATATTCGAAATCAGCGGCTTTCATTACTTACAAGGGAACGATCCCAACTTAAGGTGGCGAATTGGAATATACCGCATACCATTAGATGCGTCTTGATGAGCTGATTCCAAATCTACCTTCCATACCTGCGACAACGTTATCTGGAAGAAGTTATGAAAGGTTAAAAATGTGAAGTAATGGGGGTTTTGATGCATACTTTGCTTTAAAATCCAACTTGGAAGTGCATGACTAGCATCATATTGAGTGTACTGATTTCACGGAATGCTCACATTCAAAAGAAACGCAAATAAATGTTTTTGAACAATTAAAAAGCAACCAAAATTTTTGGTAAAAGCTATGAGCAATGAAAAGTCCAAATTTAACAAATATACGGCGCAGTACCTCGAAAATTAGTTGCTCAAGAACATTTATTTTTGTTTCCTTAGAGTGTGAGCATTCCTTGAAATTAGGACACTCAATATCATGCTAGTTATACACCCCCAAGTTGGATTTTGAAGCAAATTATGCACTAAAACCCCCGTTACTTCACGTTTTTGACCTTTCATAACTTCTTCCAGATAACGTTGTCGCAGATATGGAAGGTAGATTTGCAATCAGCTCATTGAGACGCATCTAATGATATGCGGTTCATTCCAATTCGCCACCTTAAATTGGGATCGTTCCCTTGTTAGTATAAGAGTTTTTGGCTTGTTTGGTCTTGTTCCGAGGCGAAATGTGGCCTTCAATAACCTAAAATCCTTGTCCAAGTTCCTTCCGTAATCCTACAGTAATGAAGAGGGGTAGATGATTCGCTCCACACTATAAATCTAAGTTAAACCTTGCTCTATAGAATGGTGCCTCAAGCTCGGCGAAGGACATAAAAGCAAGGGAGTTATTAACAATCAAACAGTGTTCACATTTTTTTGGGACACCCTGTATATCTCCAATGCTTTCATTAGTGGAAATTCAACAATGCCTATTTTTCTGGGATTTCCCTCCACAAAGTACACTATGAAAAGTGAGTGTAGCCTAGATATTCTTTCCTTATATCACTACTACAGTTCAAGAACTACTACAGTTCAAGAATCCTTCAAATTTCCACAAATTACGGTAACGAACGTTGCTCTGCTCATAAAATCTAATATATTTCATGGTTGACAGTCACTAATGCTGCTTTTTTGATGCCATAGTTGAATTCGCAGCAGTAGAGCTGATGCCTGTTACACACAAAGATTATCAATTGCAGTGTCGGGTGCACCATCTCCGCTCTCGCGCGGAACACTGCACTTCTTCCGCAAACATGTCTGCACTTCAACCGCGAACATTCTCTCTAATCATTTGTGATCGACTGAAGCTCCGCCTTTCCCACGCTCGCGGGTGGAAAGTTATCCGAGAGCATGTTCGCGGAAAAGGTGCAGAGTTCAGGCGAGGCGGCCGCGCGGAAGCGGAGAGCTGGTGCGCTCGATAATGCACTTGATAAGCCCTTGCACATGCTGAAATAGAAATGACATTGAGAACTGGAGCTATAATGTGCGGAAGGATGCTACACTCCAGCGTAAGCGCATACTTCATTTTCGAACGTAGAAGGGAACTTAAGTGAGGTGCACTTCCTGCTTTGCATGCAAAAACTCAGAATGGAACGTACCGCTACAGTTCACTCTCACTCATACAAACGATTTTATAAGCCCTTCCTTTCCTAGATTTACGTAAACAAATCGACAAATCGATAGAAGGACACAGTGAATCATCACGACAGGAAGCCTATGTTCCGCGCCGTGGCTTGCTTATATGGGGGCAAAACTCAGCTCAGTCGGTCCACTCAGAAAGTTTTATATAAAACACAAACATCCTTAGCAACCTACAGACAAACTTTGAGTTTTATATATGTATAGATAAATAACTATGAAACTTCCTATAGTAATGAAGAGAGATGGGTGTTTTGTTTCATACTGTAAATCTAATTTATGAAGCTAGCTCTACAAAATGGTGCCCAAAGCTTCTCGAAAGACCTCATATAAGAAAGTTATCGACATTCAAACCGTAGTCACATTTTTTTGGGACACCCTGTATAGAGTCCCCTATCCTCTTTCCAGGAATGATATCCACGAAAGTCCATTATGGAGGAAAATGGACTTTCAAACCCCATTTTATTCGTTCGCGGTGAAGAGTGGTCGGAATCTGCTTTCGCTCGCGTTATCCAAAAATTTTCATCCCATCGCAACCACGAGGCAAAGCGGTGAAATGAGAATGATTCAACCTTATCTGAGCTTTCGCTTGCGAAAGATGACGTCAAAGGTCCATTTAGAATGGCGAAAATGGGATTTACCTCCATTTTAAATGGACTTGAAAGCCCATTTTACTCCCAGCAGCAAGATGAGCTGGGACTAAGCCCATTTTTGACCTTTTTGCATATTTCTTATGGCGATTTTTTGTAATGTGTTCATCAGCCTATTTTGAGGTAACAAGTGAGTGGAAAAAGTTTCATGTCTTTTATGAAGTCTGAAACAAGTGTTTCTTTCTAAACTCATACAAACGCCATAAAAAAAATGGAATTAGACTGAATTCACCAAAAGATTCGCTGACAAACCCATATGCCTCCAAATATCAAGTCGATTCGAAAATTCCTATGCAAATCAAATAAACTTTGTATACTCTTCAACTCATCAACCAAAACTAAATTCATGATTTGTACTCAAAATAAAAAGATTTGCCTTTCAATATAATTACTCAGAAACTATTTTTTAATTGACCTCGCAGAGAACACCAAAGATGGCATTTCAAGCGCGATTTTGAGTTTGGTCGCAAGAATTACTGACATGGCGCTAGCTAGCAAGATAATTTCTGTGAAAAATCTCCTACTAACAATAGTCCATGCATTCAACTACTTAGACCTATGAACATTATGCTGAGAGACAAAGCAGGGTTAAAGTAGAAAATTTGCGAAGTCATCTCTTGCAGATTCGTAGTTTTTCCGACATAAAAAACTTTGGGTTGTGTGTAGTGCAAGGTTTCCCAAGAGATAAGCATTTTGATTCACAGATTGCAGTGCAAGTCTAGCCAAAGTTTGCTTTCTGCAGAAAGCTCTATATATGAATTTGATTTGATGCAGATTCGTAAAAGTTTTGAAAAGCGAAGGCCCGGATATCGCATGAATTTTCGATTTGGAAGTAATTTAGACGCATAGCCATCGATAATAAATGGCATTTTGTGAGTTTTAACGAAGTGGGAAAAAATATAATCATGCACTGCATGAGCGCGGGAGTTGTCTACCTCATCTCATGCAAGGATTGCGGAGCCGAGTATATCGGTGAAACAGCACGTCCCTTATGCGTACGCATCAAGGAACATCTCAATGGCAAAGAAAGATCACGCTTATCCACTCCACTGGGCGCCCATAGAGTGCAAGAGCATGAAGGAGTGAATTTTGAAGTAAATGTAGAGATCTTAGCGCGTGAACCTCAAACGTCTACCCGCAAGACTTTGGAGGCGTTTTGGATTCATTTCAAACAACCCAAAATGAATCGCAAAGATGAATGCCTCTCTATCACACGCGAGCTCGCACCATATCTAGATCAGATTTTCTGATCCGGTGAAGACATGTTCAATCATTCACTTACGTTATCAGTTAGCGCTCGTTTATACTCGAGAATTTTACCGGCGGTCGAAAAGGTGAGTATTGCGTGTGGCAGCTTGCCTGTGATCCGAAAGAAAGCTTAGAATTTTGTTTGTGAGGCTGAGGAGATGCTTGATCGGATAGTTTATAGATTGTTGTCGCCCATTTCAGGCTCTGAAGAAGGCGACATAGCCGAAACGTCAGCCTAATAAATATATTTACCAATCTCGCACTGGCTCAGCAATTAAATCAACACAATATCTTGATATCATCAATGAAAAGCTAACAATAGATTAATATCTAGATTTTATATTTTATAGTGAGACTATAACATTTTCAGAAACATCACACTTCGGAAGATCCGTACATTCAAAAGGAAGCAATTATTCAAATCTAGGGAAACGTTCATGATATAGGGCATTTGAAAAATCGTGACGATGGCGGGACCGCGCGCAGCAGTACGCGTCTTCCGACAACCACATTTTCTTGGTTTTCATCGTTAGTTGGATGCTTATTCTGCTCATATATGATAGTATTCACACAATGGAAGACTCTGAGTTGTGCCTCGAGGTGAGGCCTCTTTGTATAAGTGTTTTATGCTCCTGTGGGCATAAAAACCGCAGTCAAATCTATCGACACAGTTTTATAAATGACTTAACAGCTAACACCTACATATTTGACCGATCCAAAAATCTCCCTATTCAAAGATTCTCGTTACAAACGAATATAACATAATGATGTCATTGTATTCCGAACATCCAAAGCATTCAACTTAATCTACATAAGTTGAACAACTCTTTCTCTTTTTACAGGTTTGATTGGTTACTGACACACTTCATCATTGCGCAATGTTTTGGCTGCACGACGTCTTCTGAGACCTGGAATGATATCCACGAAAGTCCTCGCGAAATGGGCTTTCCGTGCGAATAAAATGGACTTAGTCCATGCGTGCGATAAGATATCGCAATCGCGAATCCATTCATTCCATACAAAATTTTCTCACCAAACCTTTCTCCAACTTCTCTTAACCTATTCACTCACTCTTGCAAACTCATTTCCATCAAGTGGTCGATATCTGACTAAGCTGACCTAACATTACAATGTTAGTCAAGTAGATATTATATTTTTTCCCACTTCGTTAAAACTCACAAAATGCCATTTATTATCGATGGCTATGCGTCTAAATTACTTCCAAATCGAAAATTCATGCGATATCCGGGCCTTCGCTTTTCAAAACTTTTACGAATCTGCATCAAATCAAATTCATATATAGAGCTTTCTGCAGAAAGCAAACTTTGGCTAGACTTGCACTGCAATCTGTGAATCAAAATGCTTATCTCTTGGGAAACCTTGCACTACACACAACCCAAAGTTTTTTATGTCGGAAAAACTACGAATCTGCAAGAGATGACTTCGCAAATTTTCTACTTTAACCCTGCTTTGTCTCTCAGCATAATGTTCATAGGTCTAAGTAGTTGAATGCATGGACTATTGTTAGTAGGAGATTTTTCACAGAAATTATCTTGCTAGCTAGCGCCATGTCCTGCAAGGGCTGACATGAAAACTGGAGCTTGAGTAACTCATCTTATGCTGTAACTCTGCGCGGTTTCCCAAAATCAGTTTCCGCTGGCGATACCCGTTTGTCCAGATTTGCCTGGACGCCGGAAGAAAGTGGCTCGGCAAGCTCGATACGGAGATTAGAGTTGCAGTAGTAGAGTTGCAAGATGCAACATTGAGTTGTTTCAGATTTACAAGAACATGATAAAGCGTCAATAGACTCATTCATACCTAATTTTTGGTACTTGGCACAAAATTGTTTCCTGAATCAATGCTCTTCTCAGATCTGAAAATCTGCATTGTAAATTATTGGGTGACTTGAAATATGAGGGTTGGGGCCATAATGCAAGTTTGTTGTATCAAATGTGCCTTACACCAGAAGGAGAAAAGTTGATTCTACAACAGGCCTGAATGATTCAAGTAAATCTGAAATACTACAAAGCAAATCATGGCAGAGCTTGACTGTGAAATGTCCTCCTTTTCGGAGCAATAAAGCGCTGCGATGTATTTTTTATTCCTCATGCTTTAGTGTCTATGCATTGAATTGCGATGCCCTCATGAAATCAATCTTTGTTCCACGTTTATCTGGCAGAGAGTTGATAATGCACACAACTTGCACAAATTTGTTGCCAATTCAAATATTCTCGGATAGATTTCTGTTGCCAAGCATGACATTTGAAGAAGTCCGCTAAAATGACAGACGCGGCAAGAGCGTCTGCAAAATAAGTGTTAGCCGTAAAGTGGCAAACATTTCGATGGCTTTGTTTGTGTAGAACATGCGAGCGCAAAAACCTCGATGCAACTTCGTCACCGCCTTGTTATATGAAACCGAATGAGAGGGACCATCAAGATGCAACTGGGTCAAAATGTTGACCGGGGCTGTTTGCTGTAGACTACTTTTGACAGTGACCTCCAGCCAGTTGCTCTTTCCACCTCTAGTAAACTTGACAATAAAGATTACAACAACTCTGATGCACTACACCTCACTTGAGAAACTCTAGAACTTCAGACCTACAAGATGAACCTAAGTCTATGTTAGCTCTTTACACTGTGTTCTTGTGTGACCTTTTGGTCACACAAGAACACAGTGTAAAGAGCTAACATAGACTAAAGTGGTACTGGAAAAAGGAGTTCCGTCAAATTCATAACTGCATGTAGCAGAACGAGAGACGATTGAGCGCTCTAAACACAATTCCTGCTCCAATCCAAAAGTAATCGTTCCTGCGGGCGAATCTACGGTCCCTCCGTCTCGTTTCTCTCCACACACACATACACACACTCACACACGCCTTCGTGCGCCTTGGTCCGCCTTTGTGCGCGGTATGAACGATCCCTAAACACGCTTTCAACACTCGTTGTCCAAGGCAAGCGCGTTCCTAGAGCTACTAGCCTACGTCTTGCGCGCTTTCATCGACGTTAACTACTATCTTTGCTAATCCTTCATACTTGCACAAATCGTTGCGTTAGTATTGCTTTCTAAACTCATTACCATTTTAGGCTTTTAGAGAGTGCGGTGAACATGATGTCAGGCTTCTACAAGAGGTGCGGGTGGTCTATCCGCCACTGTATCTGTATTCAAAGTTTTTCGAGAGCAGCTTGGAAGAGAACGTTACGAGAAGCAGTGGAGAAGTGAGTTCATCTTAGTGCGTATTCATTTCTATAATGAATTTTTATTTTATTTCAAACTTCGGATATTATATACTATTCACACATTTTCCAAATCAACCATCCATGCTATTTTCTACTATAATCTATGGTCTCTCATCACATACGGAAAGGATTAATAAAAGACATAGTCGTTTTTGATATCTACGCCATCTTGAAGTTTTGCTCTGGATTTGAATTCACTCGACCTTCCTTTCCTGCGAATTTTGTGTTATCAAAACTGATCGACCTGACTTAGTGGGTAGAGTCTACCCCTGGCCAAGCTATCTCGCAGGTCTCCCCATGAATAGCGTATGCACGTCTGTTCATGAATAGCGTATGCACATCATTTTACGAAAAGTCATGCTCTCCAAGTACTTCTTCAACACTTTTTAGGCAGCTTATGATCATTATTTTGTTCTTTTTTTTTCAGAGGTGAAAGCCAAACGCTGGATTGTTTTTTCTTTTCTGTCGTCATTGACACCGCTTACCTCGAAGAAGGCTATCCGTACCGTCATGCCATCGCTACAACTCGTTTTTCGTTTGTGTGAGTCTCCCCCGAGATGGGCATTTCATATCGTTCAGTTACATTGGGTATGCATAGTGTGCGATTTTTCTGTGTGCATTCGGTGATCTCATGCTATAGTTTTTGCATCTGTTGTTGGGTGTGTGTAATATATGTTATCTTCTTGATATAGAGGTATAAAGTCATAAATTCTGTTTAGATTCAATCAAGACCAATCGGTTTGCATAAATTATCAGCAATGCAAGGATTTACAGAGAATCAGAGGAGAAAAGCTCGAAAACATTGCCTCTGTAGCATTAGGAGTGGGGCTCGTGCGGCTCAGATCCCGTGCGACCGCTTCGCTTCGGCTCTGCACCTCTTCGGGAGCGAGTCCTTCAGTCATTTTCCTAGGCTTCTTTAGCGACCGAAGCTCCGCCTTCCCCACTTTCATGTGCCGTAGGAGCCCTCATCACTTCTAATACTTCTATCTGCAATCACTGCCATGTTTCAATTTAGGAGAATTGGAGGATTTTTGAGAAGTTTAGTTCATACGTTACAAAACTGTTTAACTTTGAAATGATATGGATATTCCTGTGTTCTAGAAATCTCTAACGTAGCAGCAACTATTGCGGTCATTTTATTTGTTAGGCAGCCACCCGTTTGTCAGTAATCAAAATATGAACTAGTGCAAGTTGTTGAAACTGATGTCTCTAGAAATTTAAAATAAGTTTCAGCTGACAGCGGGTTCACTCGCAGTGAATCGTTGAAGACTAAAAGCGAAGAAAAATATTAATTAGAGCTTGCAAAGGAGCACTGAGTCAAAAGTTCAGTGCTGATGTTTCTTTGGAGGCACCTTTTCGCCCAGAACGGGCAATAGCGATCACAAAATATTAACAAAATATTACGAAGATGATCAGTATCTGACTGCATTAAAGAAAGAGTTGTGGTTCATTCTAAGTAAGAGCTGCTGCGGCGCAACCGGATAAAATTAAAATTAACACTTAAATTTACAGCTATTGCTTAACGTAAAAAGTATAATTACCATTGAATAAAGGCTATCTTAAAGGCAGCGTCCAGGCAGATCTGGACCTATGGGGCTTTTACGTGGAAAGTACTTTTGGGGCCCTAACTAAGGCACTACCCAAGCGGCAGCTCAGGTAGTGCTGTAATGGCTGAGATATTGTGCTCGAAACTGGACCCCGCGACCGTGTTTCGCATGGATTCATGACGCAAAGCGTGGATCCTGGCGCGAAACCGCCATGAATCCATGCGTATACGTTCGCGGGTTCTGTTTCGAGGGGAATATCTCAGCCGTTAGAGCACTACCTGCGCTGCCGCTTCGGCAGTGCCTTAGTTAGGGCCCCAAAAGTACTTTCCATGTAAAAGCCCCATAGGTCCACATCTGCCTGGAAGCTGCCTTTAATTAGGGCTAATTACAGTATGCCGCGGCAGACTTGCGGAGCACAAAATCGGGGGGCTCCGGAGCAGAAAATGGGAGGTATCCGGAGCAGAAAATGGGAGGTATCCGGAGCAGAAAATGGGAGGTATCCGGAGCAGTAAATGGGAGGTATCCGGAGCAGAAATGGGAGGTCTCCGCCGGAGAAATGGGAGGGCTCCGCCGGACAAATGGGAGACCCACCGCTGGGGAAACGCCGCGACCCTGCCATTTCTCCGGCGGAGGGGTCCTGTCCGCTGTCTGAGTCACTGAGTGTGTTTTTCTCTCATGAATGCGCTCTGTCACTTCTGCCCTATGATCCATAACCATGGACATGTTTGTACCCGGCAGCGAAATGCTTCGCCTTGCCTTTACATTCATTGATAATCAACGCTGCGTGCCAAATCGCGCCTCTCAGCTGCTCGAATAGAGTCACTCACAATCAATAGTCACGCCTCTAGCGTGGATGATTTGATCAATAATCACTTCTCCCTTAGACCTTATCTGCTTGCTCTGAACGTTCTTCATTGCTGTGCTTGGATATCCGTACTCTGCTACACGTCTTCGATCGATCAAGGCAACGACTCGGCCCCAATGTAAACGGGCTTGTCTAGTGGTATTAACGGTTTGAACCGGATCGATCAAGAAGGACACGGTTAGAATAAAGATATTTATTTCTATGACAACAATAAACAAGAATAACTTGAACAACTTGAACACTTAACAACAACTATGGGTCCTTCTGACCCGATTTGGCCAGCTCAGCGGGGTTCTCTAGCTTTTTTCTATCTAAGGGGGGAGGTCCACCTCTCTTCGATGGCTCGTTTAAACTCCCTGGAGCGCTCTCTTCACGCTCTACCTGCTCCCCCCTATCCTCCGGTATTTATAGCCTGCTGAAGGGGTCAGCGCGGGCTTTTCTTCCCGCCACTGGAGATCGGTAGGTTGGTGATCCGCGCCATCCAACAAATTAGGATTTTTCAAGAGTTTGAGTTTTAATGTTCTTTAGTTCCATAAAAAGTGGAATGAAGAGTTCCTTAGATAGATAGCTATCATGTAATCATACTGAACGTAGATCATGTAGGTCACATTTTTTAAGAGCAAATGTGAAGAAACGCTAAGATTCAAAAAGTGGAACATATTTCACCAATCTGATGCTCAACGAAAAGTTTAAGTTGAACAAGGGTATTCCAAAGTCACGACTAATGTAAACAAAAGCCCTAAAAATGAAAGGATTGAGACGAGATTTGGCTTACACTAACAAAATAGACTCAAAATCTTCCAAATTAGCTACGGACCTCATCTATTGGTCTTATACAAACTTTACATGTTTCCAGAATAAAAATGAAGGTTTCGCTTCATCATGGTAAAAGCTTCTTGAGCATAGATGCTTGTGCGCTCCTTATTGAAAATGTTGAGAGCTTCTGTTAAGTAAAATGAACATAGCCTATACGATTTGCTAGACACCAAATATTTGGAATCTGCCTTATTCGCCTCACTCCAACCAATCCAGGATCCATCTTGTTGCGGAGTACTTACTTGCTCAAGTGGTGAAACTTGCAGTGTGCAGTATAAATGATTGGAGTGGCTTTCATTGAACTAGATTATAAACAAGTCTCGTTTTCAAACCCTGCTAAAAATGAGCTTATGCTTAGCTCCCACATTGCATAAGTACGTTGAAAAGTCAGTTTCTCCCGTGACTTGATGCAAACTCCTTACGATATCGGCGCTTGAGATGATAGATCCCATCAAAAGCTGTTCATTTTGTATTGCTACAGGCTAATCTGTAACGAATCATGAAAAAAGTAGACGGCCGACAGATGACCGATGGCGAAATACCTCCTCAGAGAAAGACCACATGCAAAGCGAAGAGCGTGTTCGTGAAACATTTGGATCAGCTGATAAGTAAGCTGGAAATGACTTGTGCACATGACTCCTGCGGGTGTAGCACCAACAACAAGGAAACTGCTTTTTGAGTGACCTTTGATGCACCTCTGCCACAAGCTTTATATAGGGGCCTGCAGAATCGCGAGAGTCGAATGTGCGTGCGGCCATCGCGCCGCGCACGTCAGATGTGTGCGTCCGACGACTCAGGTTAGGTGCCAGACTTATCCTGTTGAACAGGTTCATTCGTTTACCACCTTCGCTGTTGAACAGTATAGTGTTAGACCTATGAACCGAAAACCGGCTGAAGAGGATAAGTCTGGCACCTGCCTTAGAACATCGGACGTGCGCGGCGCAAAGGCCGTAAGCAGTCCGACTCTCGCGATCCTGCAGGCCCCTATACGGCCCTGTAAAGCCAGTTTTTTTGGACGAGTTATGGAGTTTTTAGGATAGAAAAATTGAATGCGAGACTGGAACAAGCATTTGGAACCGCTCGAATGGGCTAGAGTAGGACTTGTTTAAATAAATACTTTCTGTCTAGTATATCCCTACCACCCTATTTTCAGGTGTAAAAATTTTCAAACGAGCTGCACAGCCGCTTCACTACGTTTCCGGAGGCGTCTTCCTTATGCCGCATAATTCTCTTAGGCAATACGCAGCACTGTATAGGGCTTTTTGATCGTGAAATCTTTTGGCGTGTTTGGGCTGGTCGATTCTAGGGAAAAATCCCCGCTACTTATACACCTGATAATAGAGTTTCACAGCTCTATTTGAGAACTGCAGGGACCGTTACGTTTGATTTTTTTCAGATCCCACTTCTATTTTTGACTTCAAAAGACGCTCACAACTCAGCATCTAAAGTCCCGGAACCAAAGGAATCAGCTTTCGCTTTTCTCAGGGGTGGTGCAGAACTTATTCGAAACTTCTTCGGTCAAAAATACTTTCCATAATAAGGAGATCGAGAGCGATGCAAGTGAGGGGTAGAAAAAAGACAGTCTCGGTGGCGGGCTTCTGGGCAAGTAGAAACAGCCCTCTCAGTTATGTATCTAACAATAAGTAACTGACTCATATAAAAGGTCCATAGTTATGGAGAATAAAGTGAATTCACAAAAACGTCGGCATCCATGATTGATGATCGCTAACATCACTAAATTACGAAGTGATTACGACATAACCATGCGATAAAAGGATTGACAAAAAAACTTGAATCAACCACTGAGTTTTAGTTTACATAGTATAATAAAAAAGAAACACCATACAAATGCATCAACCTCAAAAAACTCTCACTTTTTCTGTGATGCCAGTAACGGACGCACATAAAGCACACAGTCACACGTACGTACAGTATATATTAGGTTGGCACGAAAGTTCTTGCGTAATTCAAACAAAATTCAATAAATTTTCAAAAACTAAACCTAAATTCATAACCTTGTATGCTAAAAATACTAGAAGTCTCACGCTCCATGATGGAAGTTTAAGCACAATATTCCATGAGCTATCCATCGAGAACGAAGCTTTCAAATATGGGGCTTCAAATTTTGCGATTTTGAGTTTGGTGGAAGAAAATCGCAGAGGGCCGGTAGCTAGCCGAAAAAAATCTATAGAATTTACCTACACAGCAAAAGTCCATACGTTATTTTAGCAGGCTTTGATCGCGCATGAAAATGCGAGATCAAAAAATTTGTGAAATTTCGTATTTTCACAGGACAAATCCTCTTATCGCTCTAATTTTTCCACAGAAACAAAGTTTGCAACCAGAAATTAGACATATGCCTATTTAGAGCCTTGCGACTTTTTTTCGATTGTAAAAAATTGTTTTCGCCGGAAATCTGCGGGCATGAGGGGATTTTTTCCGCAAAATGACATACTTCATGAATTT